CTTTTTACTACAATGAGTAGTGTTTCTCCGAAAATAAAGTCAGCTGCCTGGGCATTAGGCATTAGTACTGCCTAGCTAGGCCTAGCGCCTGGACTTGGAAAAAATTGATTTTGCAAGTCTTCAATCATGTTTGCATATGTACGCGCTATCCAGCCATGTGGCGTGAACAGATTGCCTGACGTGAAAGGTAGCGCGCGGGCGCGCGCGAGTCGTACGCGCTCGCGCGCGCGGACGTGTCTGACACGCGAAACGAAAAGATTTTTTTGGCGGGTAGTCGGCAAAAATTAAGTGACGGTCCCGAACCAGTTACTGAGTAGGTCTACCTAGGCTATTAATATTAATATAACACCAAGACTAAAAGTACATAACCAGGTTGTGGTTATGTACTCTTGCTATTACTACTACTACTAGTACTAGTACTAGTAACGGTAGTAGTATGATAACGTTATACAGACAGTGGGTTGGCTTGTGCGAAGTCCTGTAAATAATTAAAGGGGAAGTGCATCGATTTTTCAAGTAGGGCTCAGATGAAAGACATCGGTTCCGATGGTATATCTCTCGCTTGCGTACGGCAAGGGAAACTTGCCATATCGCCGATTTCCTGATCCCGTTTCCATGGCGACTACAGGTGATGACGCACATTCTGCTTAGCTCCGTGAGAGAGAAGGTCGATCACTGCAGAATTGTGGCATTTTCAGTTGTCTTCTTGTATTCACGAAGTGAAAGAAGTACTGTGTTCAAGGCTGTTAGTGCCGTGAACTGTTTATTAGTAGTCCTCTCCGTTGTGTACTGGGACGTGACACCGACAGGGGAAAGCTGGAGTGCGGAGACGTTAGCTGGCAAACGAAAATCGTGACGAACCAAGTGCTGAAATCTTGGTTGGGACAAATCAAACGTTCAGCATTTACCTCAACCAAGGACCATGCCGTTTGCTCTTTCCACTTCCTGAAGATGGATGCGCTGCCTGCTGGAGACTCTCCTATCTCTCGTAACATCTTCTGAAGCCAGATGAGACGACGAGTAGCGGAGATTAGCGAACGAAATAATGTATGTTTTGAAATTTTTGCTGAACATATCTCAGGAGAGATGGCATGTATGAACTTAGTCCATGTGAACTCAATCAGCCCATGAACTAACCCATGAACAAATGCTTTCCTTGCAGACGTGCATGTGTCTATCCAATCTACACGTAGAGATCATTCCATGCCCTCAGTGAATGGCCTATTTATACAAATAATATATTATATTATTTGTCCATACACTTTATCTGCATGTTGTCTCTATGGAGAAGGGTATTATTCATTTCATATGAAGAAGTTCGGGCAATAGATGCTTTCCTCTGGTACAATTCTGTTCACCTGATGTTCTTTCTAGCTTCATGGGTAGCTTAGGTGAGGTACCATCACCATCATGTTTACATGAGGGTCAAACACTGCACCGTTCTTTGTCGTGACATGACGTAAGTTATTGTAAGTGCTCGCAGACTCCATACGTCCCAGCAACACCTAGCATGGTTTCCCGTGAACGTTGTGGGTGAACAAATTCCTGTCCAACATATTTATACAGACATGCCAGCACACACCATGCACCATACACCATACACACACTTGCCCTGCCCTGTCGAGTCACTGCCACGTGGGCCCGGAGGGGCAGTGGAGAGAGAATGGGAGAACGCCGCCCCATGGCACCCGGGACACAAAAACAAGAGTTTGTCTATGTAGGGAGCAACACACATACATACATACACATGCACACACACACACACACACACACACACACACACACACACACACACACAATGAGAGTTCGGGTCATCTGCCACGGGACTGACGTACGGCCGCGGAGAGCTTCAGCAGCGGTGTCTATTCCTGCCCTGGACCGAACGGAAGCAGCGGTCGCAGGACACACAGTATTCACCACAACACGGCTCCACTGTCGTTGGCGGCTGAGCCACACACTTGTGACGGGCAAGAACGCCATAGCTAAGAAAGCAACGGCCACAGCGATCACACTGGCATGCTCCACGCTGCTCCTGCACACTCTCTCTCGCTCACACACATACACACACGTGAGCACATACTGCAAGAAAGAAAGAGAGCATGAGTGTCACATTCTTGCATAGGAAGTGTTTATCAGCACACACTTCTACATGCACATGCAGGCACTCAACGACCAACTATGCACCATGCCGTATGTTCGTCAAACGTAAGATTGCAATACCAAAGAACAACATTAACAAGATCACTTACTTCGTTCTCCTCCAAGTGTGTCCTCCCCAGCCAGGCCGTCTCCTGCATTTCCCTAGGCGGAATGTAGCCTACGAAATGGTTTCTCTAGACTAGGAGAAGATGCTTGGTATTCGCCATCTCTCCTGAGAAATGTTCAGCAAAAATTTCAAAACATACGACATTATTTCGTTCGCTAATCTCCGCTACTCGTCGTCTCACCTGGCTTCAGAAGATGTTACGAGAGATAGGAGAGTCTTCAGCAGGCAGCGCATCCATCTTCAGGAAGTGGAAAGAGCAAACGGCATGGTCCTTGGTTGAGGTAAATGCTGAACGTTTGATTTGTCCCAACCAAGATTTCAGCACTTGGTTCGTCACGATTTTCGCTTGCCAGCTAACGTCTCCGCACTCCAGCTTTCCCCTGTCGGTGTCACGTCCCAGTACACAACGGAGAGGACTACTGATAAACAGTTCACGGCACTAACAGCATTGAACACAGTACTTCTTTCACTTCGTGAATACAAGAAGACAACTGAAAATGCCACAATTCTGCAGTGATCGACCTTCTCTCTCACGGAGCTTAGCAGAATGTGCGTCATCACCTGTAGTCGCCATGGAAACATATGGCAAGTTTCCCTTGCCGTACGCAAGCGAGAGATATACCATCGGAACCGATATCCAATTGTCTTTCATCTGAGCCCTACTTGAAAAATCGATGCACTTCCCCTTGTAATGTGTTTTACTTTTATCAAGAATGGACTCTTGCTTTTATGGTTGCATCATTCGTAGAAATAGAATGGCGAGATCTGCTGTAAAACGCTGTTTCCGCTTCTGCGACTCCGAGCTACTCAGCAACAGCAGCCTTACCAGGCCACTCGGGATAGCTGGGGTTACGTGACGGAATGGGCGTTAGACCGCTGCACATAAAGACACCAGACTATTTAGGCAATCCCTCTCAGTTCGAACACTAGCGTTGGAAGTTTGTTGATGCCAGTGCAGGGCTACAACCGTGGTTAGGAAGTTCTGGAGCTGAGACAGGTGAGCAAACCAAAGCTAGTGTGTGAAGTATTCAATTTTGGTGAAATGTTTACTACCACCAATGCCAATAATTAATAATTATTATTGTAACTCGGATGTTGAGCCAATAATATAATTATGTAGAAAGGAAAAGGAAATAATATTATAGATACGAGTTGAGAGTAACTCTCCATCACTGTAACCAGATACTATTGTTGAGTTCGAAACAGGACGACTGACGACATATCCAGACATAACAACGGGAACAGGTAGGTTGGGGGAACGACATTTATTAGAGACGACGAGACAAGAGACCAAGACGAACGAAACGACTACATTGAAGAGTGAGAAAAGAGAGAGAGAGATCAAGTCTAAACGGCAAGATAAAGGGCCTGGGTAGCTATGGCAAATATGGGCGCGCAAGTAGCTACCCAGGCCAACGGAGCAAAAGGAGACAAAAGGTGCGTACGCAAGTGCATGCAGGCCAGCTAGAAAAGGTACGGGAGGGGGTACCTAACATACCACCCCTCCATGAAAAAAAATCCCGCGTCCTCGCGGAGAGAAAAAAAGAGAGAAAAAGATTTAAAAAAAATGACTGACGGAGAAAAAAACACACACACACACATACTGCACGCGCGCACGGATCTCACGAAAGTGTGTACTAAATGCACTACAGATTATTCCTGTACTTCTTATAGTGTGTAATAACTATTGGAGTTTGACGAGGAACATGAATTACTAGTATTTTGCACGGCTAATACAGCCTAGTTACACTTTTGCTAAACATCCAAAAATTAGAGCGTGGCTCACCATGATCGGACCCCTAACTTGGTAATGTTTTACGAACACACGCGCGCGCGCACACACTACAAAAAAAATTCACGAAAATAAATTTGACGAAGAAGCATACAAAAAAAAAGAAAGAGAGAAAGGTAGCTGACCTGCATGGCTTGAACGAGAATAGACGAGGTAAGGTTGGCGTAGGAGAGACGAGGTTGATAGAGACGAGACGAGGTTGGCGTAGGAGAGACGAGACTGACATGGACGAGACGAGGTTGACAATTTGACATAGACGAGACGAATGGCGGTTGAGGACGGCTGGGCATGGGATGATCTCAGGGTCGTGGGTCGATCAATAATCGGGCGCCAATGTTGAGTTCGAAACAGGACGACTGACGACATATCCAGACATAACAACGGGAACAGGTAGGTTGGGGGAACGACATTTATTAGAGACGACGAGACAAGAGCCCAAGACGAACGAAACGACTACATTGAAGAGTGAGAAAAGAGAGAGAGAGATCAAGTCTAAACGGCAAGATAAAGGGCCTGGGTAGCTATGGCAAATATGGGCGCGCAAGTAGCTACCCAGGCCAACGGAGCAAAAGGAGACAAAAGGTGCGTACGCAAGTGCATGCAGGCCAGCTAGAAAAGGTACGGGAGGGGGTACCTAACACTATAATTATACAGTCAGAAAGTGCAATAACTAGGCACAAAACTGACAGAGTACTGAGACATTCGACGTCCTGACACCTAGCTTCAACACATCTCCGTAGCGCTAACCGACAGCCTTCCAACTTGTAGTTTTGTGCCTAGTTGCACTTTCTGACTGTATAATTATAGTATCTGGTTACAGTGATGGAGAGTTACTCTTAACTCGTACCTATATTTCCTTTTCCTTTCTACATTAATTATTATTGTTTAATTATTTTAATCAATGGGTATGACATGTTTTGCATGTACATGTACTTACATTGTATATTAATTTTGTTTTTGTTGTATTTGTAGTGGGATCAAAACTGTCGCAAACCTAAAATAAGAGCGACTTCAGTCCAACATTTTAAAATTGGAATTATGCCCAACAAATTACACGACTGGATAGAGGAACCTCTGCAGAACACACACAGAACATTTTATGGGAATATCTTAGCCCCATGCCGGAGTTATGAGGCCACACAGTAGGTATGCAATCGTCGGAGACCATGTAGGTAATTGTATGCAGAGCGATGGCACAAACAACTAAAAGGTTAGTTTCTCCGACCTCATCATCGGAGTATCATGCATCCCACTGTGAATGTATGCGCAATATATGGGATTTGGGTGTTGTTGGAGAGTGGCGGAGAAACCGTCGTAGATGTTGAACGGGATGTGTTCTGCTTCAATGGATTGAAATAATCAGCTCCTGCTCAAGTACCTCCAGAATCTCGACATGAAGGACAGTAGCGGCCATGGATTTACAATGGCAAAGACTCTCAATCTGCAGACAGAATTGTTTCACCCTTTGTGGATTTATCAGTACAGCACAGGTGAACGAGGTTGAAATTGTTACTTGCAAGTGTGTAGCAGCAACAAAAAAATGAAACGAGCTTAGAAGTTGCGACTTCGGCGGTAATAGTCATGAAGTTGATTGTTCCAACTAGGAACACACGCTTCTTGCCGAACTTGACACTTGACTGACTCACGACTGCCATTCGGAGCACGCGTGGAGCACATCGCACCTTCCACTCGGCAAACCTGCAAGAAAGCACCACTCACAGTGTTTCAGGGAATTCACCCCTCATCAGTTGAGCTTGAGTAGGCTGAGGAAGATTGTGCCTGAAAAGCACCACTTATATACTGCTCTCCAGGCCAAACCATCACCAGGAATTGTTCCAACTAGGAACACACGCTTCTTGCCGAACTTGACACTTGACTGACTCACGACTGCCATTCGGAGCACGCGTGGAGCACATCGCACCTTCCACTCGGCAAACCTGCAAGAAAGCACCACTCCCTGCTCAATACACAGTGTTTCAGGGAATTCACCCCTCATCAGTTGAGCTTGAGTAGGCTGAGGAAGATTGTGCCTGAAAAGCACCACTTATATACTGCTCTCCAGGCCAAACCATCACCAGGAATACAAACTTACAGAGACGCTTTGTTTCCAGCGCGACAAACACCTCATGAAGCCCCAGGTAGCAGCGTGAGTCAGAGTCGCTCATGGAGTTGTGCTAAACAGACGTTGAGAGCCAGTATCGCTATTCACAACGCTATCACCTCCAACAACTAGTCGCACGTCCGTGTGAGGGACAACAATACGATAAAATGATAAAAAGTCCGAAAGTGCGATAATAGCGCACACCATGTTTTCTTCTCTTTTTCGAAAATATTCACATAGCAGAGAGAGAGAGACAAGCGAGAACAGACAGAGAAAAAGGATATGTAAAGTGCTGATTCTCATACACATGGAAGCAAAAAAAAGAGTGACGTTTGCACATCCGCCTTACGCCTGGCTATACCATAGTTCTGAGAGTCGCAACCAGCTTCAAAAGATTCGATTGTGCCAGGCCTCCACCATCATCAGGTCTGAGGTGCTACAGAAGACTAGGCAAAACTTGCTAAAGTTACTGAACGTGTCAGTTGGAAGTCTTTATGAACCCAAGAGTATCAAGCCTATGAAAACGGAAAGAGAACACTGTCACTTTCAGGCTGTTACTGGTAGCACATCAGCACGTCTTTGTTAGTTTGGTTCGTTCTTTGTCTATAATTATAATCACGCTGATCCAATCTCTTCACATGTTCACCACTGGTGCAGGCCTGTAGATTTTGCATGTTTCCACGTGTATCTGCGAGAGAATCAACACAGAGCTCTTTTTCTGCGCTAATCCTCCTCCTGCTTATATCACCAATACATTGTTTAAAAGTTATTGTGCTGGTTGGTTTCTTGTTCTGCCTGTATCTACCTGAAGAGAAAGCAGTCGAGGCAATATAGCGAACGGATAGGAAATTGCTTGCAAAGACTCTGAAGCGTGTTCTATTCCTTAGTCTGATACTTCTTCACAAACTCAGAGGCAGATTTTTTTCACCAGAGAGTACTTTGCTACTAGAGTGCTCAAACTGAGAAGCCATTGATTGCACTGCGCATAAACTAGGCTCGGGGCTCCAAGACACTGGAAGCCCACATATGTCCCTGGAGCTAGCCTGGAGCTTGAACAACACCATTGAAGGCTGGAACTAAGAACCAACGGCCGTATCGAAAGGTATCTGAAAACAGGAAGGTAGTCCGGGAAGTGAGCTAGCCACCCTGCAGCTGGTAGTGTTTCTTTGTTGGAAGGGAAGGAGGAGCCTAGTGATAAGTGTGGTGTAGCGTAAACATATTGCTTGACATCGTTGCATTGGGCTATTGCAAGTTATTAGCTCTTGCGCCGATAGAGTAGCAATGGAAGTGATATGAGCACTGGGCAGCCGCGGTGATTGTGATGCGGCCGCAGACTAGACGGTGTAGTGTTAGTATGCAGACTGTGTTGTGCCTGGATCCTCGAGGGCCGCAGTGTGTGTTGTTTCTTCGCACGTGGAAAAGTCAATCTGACCGACTGTGTAATCAAACTGTAAGAGTGAAATGGTAAAAAGAGAAGAAAGCACATGAGAACGAGCTCTTAGTTAAAAAGCGAAATTTGTATATTTATGCAGAAGTTCCCATTTCTAGACAAGATATTATGCAATGCTGCTCAATGAAATCCGAAGGCGTGAATCAGGTTTGCACCCTGCACCAGTTCACATCTCAGTGTTTGCAGGTCTGGGGCTGCACAGCGCTCAGCATGGCATTGGCCCACTGGATTGGATTTCATTGAGCAGCAGTGTATGGTCATGATAAGTTTCCTATCGTGTGCACAATCTTGTAATTGCAGTCTTAAACGTTGTGCAGATTGTCATTGAGGGAGATGAAATGGGAAACGTTGAGTCGATCGGAGGGTAACCCGGATGAGAAAGTGCTGCAACGTTACTCCATTACACTGCTGTACCACGCAACCACAGACCATTGCTATTATATTAAAGATTTATCCTTGCATATTGTGCTCGAAGTTAGGTGGACAGAGCTAGCAATATGACAGGTAAAACTGATACGTGTGAACTTGCCATTCATTCCTCATTGGTGTGATTCTATTGCTGTTGGTACTAGGTCAGTGTACGGGAGCGCTACCACATCACTAAGCAAATATAGGTGGCATTGAAGTGGCTGAGAAATAGTTGGGCAAGACGGCAGAGGAGATGTCCGCCAAGGTGGTTGACATGTCAAACTTTGCAAGCGGTAATGTCACCTCGCTCTCTGTGATGCATGTTTACAAGCATGTGTGCATGTGCGTGAGTGCGTGCATGTGTGTGTGTGTGTGTGTGTGTGTGTGTGTGTGTGTGTGTGTGTGTGTGTGTGTGTGTGTGTGTGTGTGTGTGTATGTGTGTGTGGCTCGGCTGCTTGAAGGTGTAATGTTGTACCTGCCACCTTCGTTGGTTTCAGGTTTCATTATGCTTAAGTATACATATCTGTTAACCATCACTGTGTGTGTGTGTGTGTGTGTGTGTGTGTGTGTGTGTGTGTGTGTGTGTGTGTGTGTGTGTGTGTGTGTGTGTGTGTGTGTGTGTGTGTGTGTGTGTGTGCGAGAGAGAGAGAGAGAGAGAGAGAGAGAGAGAGAGTGAGAGAGAGAGAGAGAGAGAGAGAGAGAGAGAGAGAGAGAGAGAGAGAGAGAGAGAGAGAGAGAGAGAGAGAGAGAGAGAGAGAGAGAGAGAGAGAGACACACACACACAGACACAGACACAGACACAGAGAGAGACACAGAGAGAGACACAGAGAGAGAGAGAGAGAGAGAGAGAGAGAGAGAGAGAGAGAGAGAGAGACAGACAGACAGACAGACAGACAGACAGACAGACAGACAGACAAACGGACAGACAGACAGACAGACAGACAGACAGACAGAGACAGACAGACAGACAGACAGACAGACAGACAGACAGACAGAGACAGACAGACAGACACAGACAGAGACAGACAGAGACAGACAGAGACAGACAGAGACAGACAGAGACAGACAGAGACAGACAGAGACAGACAGACAGAGACAGACAGAGACAGACAGAGACAGACAGAGACAGACAGAGACAGACAGAGACAGACAGAGACAGACAGAGACAGACAGAGACAGACAGACAGAGACAGACAGAGACAGACAGAGACAGAGAGACAGAGAGACAGAGAGACAGAGAGACAGAGACACAGAGAGAGGGAGAGAGAGAGAGAGAGTAAGTTACATTTATAAAGACAGGTAAGTCTAACAAATGAGGACTGAGACCTCTACAACAGGGTTTTTATGCCTGAAAGCAGGTGCATGATTTAACAAGCAGGTTGTCAGTCTAGATTTTATGCGCAGATGGAGAAAAAGCGCAGAATTTTTGTAATGAGATGAAAAGCAGAAATAATAAGAAATAATAAGAAAAGATGAAATGAAAGCCTGCTCACAACCCCGCCCAGCCTTGCGAACTGGGTATGGTGGATTAAGAACCCGGTTCAACGCTCGAGCAAGCGCTCTCCACTCAAGGTGTTCACAGCAACTGATATGAACTCATATGGGGAAATTATAGAAAAGAAATAATAAGATAAAGAGAATAAATTTCAACGCACCTCAATAAACGGAGCCCCACATACAGTACCTCAGAAAAGTGGATCAGTGTTTTTGTTGTTGTTTTTGTTGACGTCGCAACCAGATGATGTAGCTGCTTCGCAGAGACGTCTTACTGCACAAATTACAAACAAATTTTATTCTTCGATTAGAAAACCCAAGCGCTTTCAGAGCCCTCCGAAGAGAGTCCGGGATGAAACCACGCACACCTACCTCAACCGAAAAAGAAACGACCTGCCACCCGTTTGCTCGGCATTGATCGGCCAGATCCGCATACCGCCTGTCCTTCCGCGAGTTACTGACACTGAATCTGTCCTCAGCACAAACTGTCAACTCCATCCAGAATACAATCCTACGACTCGTAGAGTACAGAACTATATAGGAGAGAGAGAGAGAGAGAGAGAGAGAGAGAGAGAGAGAGAGAGAGAGAGAGAGAGAGAGAGAGAGAGAGAGAGAGAGAGAGAGAGAGAGGAGAGGGGGAGGGGAGGGGAGGGGAGAAGAAGGGAGGGGAGGGGGATGGGAGGGGAGAAGAAGGGAGGGGAGGGGGAGGGGAGGGGAGGGGAGGGGAGGGGAGGGGAGGGGAGGGAGGGGGAGGGGAGGGGAGGGGAGGGGAGAGGGAGAGGGAGAGAAAGAAAGAAGGAAAGAAAGATAGAAAGAAAGAGAGAGAGTGAGTGAGTGGCGGTCAATTCATCAGCCTTACAAGCTATTGAAATTTGTAATCCCAGCACAAGTTGTCATGTCGAACATAGCTTGTTCGTTATCATCGCTTCAGCGATGGGCAGGAGTATGTTGTGTGTGTGTGTGTGTGTGTGTGTGTGTGTGCGCGTGTGTGCGTGTGTGTGGGCGTGTGTGTGTGTCTGTGTGTCTGTTGCCTAACATGAGGAATGAGCAATTATACAACAAAACGAAATATAACAGAAGCAGGACGCACAGTAGTTCTTCAATACTAACTTTCAATGCTGTGCAATATGCAACAACAGTCTTTAGAAAGACCGTTCAATGATCTCTGGATTTGTCCAAACCCCCACCGTCATGCTGCTCACCCTGCTCACTAAGCTTTGGAGAGAATTGTATTGCTGTTTCTAGGCAGGCAATATATGGATAAAAAGGAGAAGGGCAAAACGGTACGAGTTATGACCAAAGGTCCACCAATTTAACCAGAGCATATACAGTCAGCGAATGCGACAACAAAGCATAAAGCTGAAAGATAGTACTGAGACATTCAAAGCTGATTGTGTGATGATCTGGCTACTTTGGTGGACAGTTAGTCATAACTCGTACCATTTTTCCTTCTCCCTTTTATCCATGATTGCATTGGCACACCATCTGATTTCGATGATGAATAAATCAGAATCCTTCGAAGTTTATATATTTTTAAATCTGAGTGCACGAGGATTTCATAACTTTCTCGATGCTATTGTATGTATGTGCTGTAGCTGCAGACAAAGATCGGATAGAGCCATGTGCATTCTGTGGCAGTACGGATAGCAAGTCATGCATGGTGCTAGGAAATGTATGCGGCGACACAGCATGTGAGGTGAGTGTGTGCTTGGCATGCCCTGGCTAAGGTATTTCCCAGCTCAATTGTCATAAGACGCAGCAAGTCGGCATCCAGTGAAAAGCCCACATGCGTAACCATACTGTGGAAAGTGAGGAGTGCATGTCACCTGTGCATATCTGTTAGGTTATAAGGTTCCTACACCCCTAGCTTTTTCATTCAGAAACATATACACGGATTGCAACAGAGTAAACACAGGCTGGTCAGTACCGCCGCTCTTAAGGATCAAGTCTATTAGCTGCCCACCATAATAACTTCCCCCTGAGAGTGATCATTGTTCTATTTGAGGTGAAGCGCCTCCCCACACAGTGCCTTTCCCATGACGGGAATCTGACTGAGTGCAACTAGACACGAGATAGTATGACAGTGGTTTGTTGTACGTGTACTCAGTGTACCAGGGGGATTTCCCCGTACAGGTACGTAGAGCACACAGCACATTCAATGTAAATGTAAATGTTGAAGGCCCGGATTCGTGATATGCCCAAGACAGATCTCAAGTATCAACTCGTCAGCTCTTGTTGACTTCTTATCTTGTCTTTGTCTTGCAGGAGCTCTCTCTAGCGCTCTGCAACCGGGTTCTGCCTTGTGGACATCGGTGTGCTGGTCTTCCTGGGGAGGCCTTGTGTCCACCATGCCTGAACAGTCAATGCTACAACCGTATTAAGACATGCTGGTCAGGTAGTGATAGCAGTGCTGAACTAGCATCTGCAACACAATCCACTGCCAGTGAGACCAGTGTGTTTGTGTGTAGTCTGTGCCATGCTGGCCATGATATGTGGCAGGCATCTCCTGTCATCCAGGTAAGTCTGCATCATTGTACATGTTAAGTGATGTAAGCTAGGCCTGAAACGAAGGCGAACGAAACATTCCGAACTGTACGGTTCGTTTGAGGAGCCCACAAACTATTCTAAGAATTATATAAGTACTTGAAGTATATGTTACAGTTCCGATTCAAACTGAAAGGCAAGTTCAAATAATTTGAAACAACCAAGAATGGACAACCAGCAATCACTCTTGCTTAGAATAGCTGCGGTAACGGGGGCCTACCTGGGGCGCGCCACAGGGCGAAGTTGGCTGGCTAGGCCGAGCGCCATGTGCACATTATGTTGCCCATGTTGCAGTACGAACACGGGACTGCATGTACACACGTACCTACGTATGCATAGACAAACCTTGGACACCTTGAAGTAGCGAATCGAATTCTCTTCAACTCCCTTTTAGAGCAAGCCTAGTCGAACGTTCTATTATTCTTTTCACGTCTATTGTAAACACACACACGTACCTTCCTTTCTTCCTTCCACTGCCATGACTGGCTATGTGGCCCCATACGGGGCAGACCAGGAGACGTGTTGTACACTGGGCAGGGAACGCCAGACTCAGCGCGCGCGGGCCGCGCGAACAGCGTTACATTTGTGCCTCGCAATGTCCTGTGGCCGACGAAAACTGCGCGCACAAGTGCCACAGATGAGGGGCTTCGCCACAGGCTCCATGCGGGACTGGACAATAGCACACACGTATACACACACGCACACACACACACACACACACACCTGTCCTGTCCTGTCCTGTAGAGCCACTGCCACAGGGGTCACGCGGGCCCCGGAGGGGCATCAGAGAGGAAGATGGAGCACGCAGCCTGATGACGCCGGAGATGGTGGGGCAAACGGAACCGGCGAGAACACACGCATACATGGCTGAACGAATTACGCTGCTGGGCAGTCGGCCGCGGGCCAGTCCTCGAGCACCGGTGACGACCGCGGCCTTGCACAGACCGAAAGCAGCGGGCACACACAGCACAGTGCGCAGCACAGCAGGCATCCTGCACATAGACTTGCCGGGGCTCGGGAGGCTGAGGCTGAGGTGCGGAACAGCGGTGAACAGCTAGACCACCCTTGCTGCGAAACCAACGCCCACAATCTCCACAGTGGCAAGCCCCTCGCTGCTCAGCAATCGGCTTTGCCCGCTCAACCACACATTTGTGGCGAGCACGATCTCCAGGGCGCGAGAATGACCGATTGCAATCCGCACATACCACTGGGTCAGGCTGAGGCACATTCTCCACAGGCTCGGCGTACATCGTCCGCCAGTCAGCGCGGGACTCACAGGCGATAGGGTACCATTCTTTGGTGAGGCCACGAACTCTTAGGTCGGAGACAACGCAATCCTTCCAGCGCTTGCGAGGGCCATGTGCTGGGCGACGTGTGAGAAGTGAGCCAAACAGGATCTGTCTCGGCATCCGGCTACTGTCCATTCGGGCAACATGGCCCAGCCACTCTAGGCGACGCTGTGCGACCTTCACGCAGATGGTATCAGAGTCACCCCACATCTCCAACAGTTGGGCGTTGGTCGTGTGATTATTCCAGCAATCTCTGCGGGACACACCCAGGATGGAACGGATGCACCGCATATGAAAGACTGACAGACGTTGGAGATCGTGTTGCAATGGTGTCCAACACTCTGACCCATAGAGGAGGAGCGACAGCACACATGCATTAAACACACACCTCTTGATATGCAAATCAAGGTCAGGATTGCTGAAGATGGTTCCTTGCAAGGCGCCACAAGCACGAGAGGCATGCGCAATCCGAGCAGTGATGTCCTGCGTCGACCGGCCACCGCGATGAATGAGAGATCTCAGGTACCGGAACTCCGAAACACACTCGATGACCGTGCCAGCTAGCTCGATTGGAGCGCAGTCCCCAGGCGAAACATCCCTACCTGCAACCAAGAACTGTGTCTTGGTAGCGCTAACTTTAAGCCCAAACTCAGCTGCGGTTGTGTCAAACACTGCAAGTGCCGTCTCCGCCCCTGCACGAGTCGTCGCGAAAAGTGCTGAGTCGTCTGCAAACTGTGACTCAGTGGCAATGGCAACCGGATCCGTCCTGGTAGGCTTGCGGTAAAGGTTATTGTCACCGTCACAATGCCGGAACTCAAAACCAACACCGGGTACATCTCGGACTCGTCGCTGCCACACAGTCACCACCGCCCACATGAAGATGTTAAACAGTACAGGTGCCATGGTGCACCCCTGACGGAGACCATTCGTGACGCGGATAGGGTCAGTTGTCGTGTTCTTTACCCCGAACCACCGCCGACATGTCAGTGTGAAAGGAACGGATCACGGCAAGCATGGGAGCAGGGATACCCGCTCGGGATAAGACTTCCCACAGGCAATCCCGAGGCACGGAATCATAGGCTTTCTTGAGGTCTATAAATACAAAGAAGCCTTTGCAGTCGTGCTCAATGGTCTTCTCGAGGAACTGCCGAACACTGAAAACCATATCTGTACAAGATCGGCCACGCCTGAAGCCACACTGAGACTCTGGGAGAAAATCCGCAGCCACGGACTGGAGACGAGTCTGGATAACGCTCGCCAGAACCTTGCCCACAACATCCAGCAGTGAGATACCCCGCCAAGTATCACAGCGAGATCCCTTTCTTTGGGATGGGGACCACCCACTCCTGCGGGACCACCCCAGCACGCCACACATCGCCAAACAGCTCCACAAGCTTGGCGGTGAGGTCAGGGCCACCCCTCTTCAGCATCTCAGGGAGGATGCCAGAGGCTCCAGCGGACTTGCCGTTCTGTAGGCGGGAGATAGCGCGGCTGACTTCACGGAGAGTCGGCGCCTCAGCAAGATGATCAGCCTCCTGTCGCTGTGGGATGTCGTCCAGGGCATTGCGATTCCATGCACTTGCCACGTTGAGAACACCGTCAAAGTGTCTTCCCCACCGGTGGCTCTGCTCCTCTGGTGAACTACAGATGTTACCGTTCTCATCCAGCACGGCGGAAGTGCGCACAGGGGCGAGGCCCCGGGTACAGTACGGATCGGCTATAGCGTTGGTGTTTGATTTTCGTGAAAATATCACTATAGGCGATATATTACTATAGGCGATATGCATACTTAGGTATGCCTGACAAATGCGTGTATGGTGTCATTCGAATCAGTGCAGCGTGCAGAAGCGTGCTGTGCATGTGACTGTACAATACGCGCAGTGCAGAGCTACTTCCTGTACTGCGGAAACAAAAACTTCGTGACTTTTTGACAGGAGTTTTCAAGGAGTTGCTGTCCTCAACAAATGTGTGTTTTTTGAAGAGAAACACTTCAACACATTCAATCGACATATGAACAATATCTACAGGATCGATAAGTGGAAGTAGAGTCTCAGTCTGGGTCACCATCGCTCAACTTATCACCGCTGAAACCGTTCCAAGTGGCAGGTCGACCGTTCCAAGTGGCAGGTCGAAGCACAGCCAATGCCAAACATTTCGAATTTCCTCCGAAGGATATCATAGTCGTACCAGCGCTTCCTGGCTGCCGCGATCAGATCTCGCCATGTACGATGTATAATTAATTATGATCATCACTATAGCCGATGAAAAATGTATGCAATAAGATCATTTTGACAAAGAAATCGTATCATTATAGCCGATATATTACTATAGCCGATTATTACTATAGCCGATCCGATATGTATAGAAAGGGGTGGTTTACGAAAATGAATTTGAGAATACCATCACTATAAGAGGTATATTACTATAGCCGACAACCCTATAGCCGATCCGCACTGTACAAGACTGGAGGTCATGGATGCACTTCCATACGACCGCTCCATTGAATCTCGACTCTGTGGCCGCCTGTGCCTTTGCCTTTATCCAGTCTACCCTAGCCGAGGATATGGAAGCACGCGCCCTGGATCTAGCCACCTTAAACGCTGTGTAGTGCGTGCAGTCGCAGCCCTGGCCACTACATAGCCAGTCGGTATAGCACCGATTCCGTTCATCTAGGAATGGCTGGATAGCTGACTCTGCCTCCCGAAACCAGTCTGGTTGGCGACGCCGGGAGAAGCCCAAGACAGACGCAGCAGACTTGTCGATAGCCGCCTTGACGTTGGACCATTTCTGATCTATGTCGTGCTGTTCTTGCCATGTATCTACAAGCTCGGTTGCAATGGTAGCTTGGTACCTTTCTGCAGGCGAAGGTGAGTCCGGGTCCGAGGTGCGCACCCGCAGCTGGGCAACATCATAACGGCGGCGACGCACATTTGCCTGGTCGCGCTCCCGAACTAATCGTCCACACGGGAGTGCAAAAGTTAAACAGAGGAGTTGGTGGTCACTTCCACACTCAGCACTGCGCGCGACCGCAGTGTCCATACACCAACGGCGGTCCTCCTGGCGCACTAGAATGTAGTCGATACAGTGCCAGTTCAAAGTGCCTGGGTGCTGCCAAGTCCGCTTGAAGAGGTCTCGCTTGGGGAACCAGGTGTTACAAATACTCAACTGATTGAATGCAGCAAATGATAGCAGGTCAGCTCCTGAAGAGTTCAGTGCACCAAATCCATGCGAACCACGTACAGTGGACCACTCATCACCCTGCTCACTAGATCCAACTCGAGCATTGAAATCGCCAAGCACTACACAACGGTCAGTCTGGAGTACATCGTACAGAGTGCGTTGTAGATCGTCATAAAATAGTTCCTTGCATGCCCGCGACGCAGCAAACGTTGGAGCATAAACGCTGACCAGAGTGAGCCAAACATTCGGTCCATCAGCTGCACAGTACTTCAAACGTACACTCACAATCCGAGAACTCACCGCGTTCCATACGCAGCCGCCAGCCCTCCACGCCGAAGTTGTATCACGATTCAAAACAAGAGCAACTCCCTCACCTCGACGTCGATTATCCTCTTCGCCAGGAGTGGGGCGGCCCGAACAGATCACAGTAAATCCGTTGACAGCGTAGATATTTTGTCCAAACCAGTGGGTTTCCTGCAGGCCTGCCGCCGCCACTTTCAGCCTTTTCAGTTATACACACACACACACACACACACACACACACACACACATGCGCACACATACACAAGCGCACACGCACACACACATACACACACACACACAGACACACACATGCAGACGCACACACACACACACACACACACCACACACACACACACACACACACGCGCGCGCGCGCAGACACACACGCACACACACACACACACACACACACACACACACACACACACACACACCACACCACACACAAACACACACATACATACATTACTATACTAAACTATCAATCCCGGTACCAATTATTTAATATGACCTACTTGCTAGGGTTTACCTGACAATAATATGAGCTACTTGCTAGGGTTTACCTGACAGTAATATGAGCTACTTGGTAGGGTTTACCTGACAGCAATATGAGCTACTTGGTAGGGTTAACCTGACAGTAATATGAGCTACTTGGTAGGGTTTACCTGACATGATAATATGAGCTACTTGCTAGGGTTTACATGACAATAATATGAGCTACTTGGTAGCGTTTACCTGACAAATATTTAATATGACCTACTTGGTAGGGTTTACCTGACCATTATTGCATGGGCAACGGGATCGCGATGCACCAAATCCGTGAACAGTTTCCGTTGCCATTGTACCTCCTGCACTGACTTTTGTTCCATGGAGAAAAGCTGTACGAAAATCTGAACAGCTCCGGGCCAAGGATGCACATTGCTTCGTGGGGCATGCAGTGGTATGCTGTGGTGGCGTGCTGCTGCTGGTGCTGCTGGTGCTGCTGGTGCTGGTGGTGCTGGTGCTAGTGCTGGTGCTGGTGGCCACGGGTGGAGGTGATGGTGATGGTGGGTCCTTTTAAAGGGGAAGTTAAGCCTAAAATCAAATTTTCACCAGTTGTAGTCTTCGGGGTGCTGAGTCGAATGGTCTTGGTCCGAGGAAGCTGAGATGCGTCCTTCCTCCTTTATTCCCAATCGAACTCGCACTTCCACCGAAACTGGGTGACTGCGCCCTACTAGATGGGGATTTGTATGCAAAATGTCACTAAAAGCGCCATTTCGTTCTTATAAAAGCACGGATGACCGCGATTGGCCCATATGTTGTGGTCCGTAGGCTTTTGGGCGCTGACTCGACTACTTTTAGTCCGAAAAGGCTGCGATGTAGCGTTCGTCCCTTATTCCCAATCGAACATGGCTGAACAAGCGGTCACGCACGTGTGCATGCTCGTGCGTACACCAGTCACCTGGTCACCGTGCCTGCAGCTTACAACTTACAGCATGTTTGAGCACGTTTTCTGTCACTCGAGTTCAACATTTGAACATTTGAGTTGAACCTTGGTGTGAAAGTTGTCGCATAAAGCCGATTGGTTTGTAGGTTTGCCTGCGAATCATGAGATTGCGAGTTCAAATCTGCGCTGGTAACAGGGAGTGTGTGTAGTGCTCTCTCAATCGCGGTGCTGCGAGCCAGTACCACTTTACATGTAATGAACTGTGCCGACACCCACGGCGAACTGGGTACTCACTTGCTGGGTGTGAGGGTAACACGCTTGCTGGGTGTGAGGGTAGCAAGGATGCGGTTTATGGGCTTATAGGGCTTTTACACGCCCGCTTGTTGAGAGACTTATCCCCTCTCCCCTGACTCACTTGTGAGGTCTGTATTCAACACTGAGGATATATGGGTGAAGTGGTTCCCCGCTGATGCGAATGTCTTTGCTTGAGGTGTTCTTCAACACGTCAGGTGATGCGGCTGCGAATCCGGCTAACTTTTTTTTCCCCCTTAAAGCTGTATATTGGTAAATGATAAGCTCTGCCGTTCTCGGTCCGCTTATAGTGGGATTACAGTAGGATCGTACTTTCTGTTTCTCCTTGTTAGCTGTATTGCGGGCACATCTTTCACAAGAGTTGCTGTAAAGCCCGGTTCGACAAGCTATGGGGAAACCCGGTGGTGAACCCTGAGGTATTCAAATGTCCTGATTGTGAGGTAAGTCGAATATTCTGCGAGGAGACAATAATTTAATTAAAGCTATCAAAAGTATCTCTTGGCCTGTCAAGCCCTATTTATAGGGTTTTGCACCCACGCATTCTAGCTTGAGCTCACTTGAGAGTTCACTTGGCTGCTATGACAACTAGAAACCTGCACCCATGTACGTGGTACATACAGAAGATTGTGCTGCAAAAAAACCGTTTGCTTTTTGCTGTTGTCTACATTGAGTGAAGCTAGTTTCAGTGCAGCGTTTTCGTGATATTTCGTGACCCTATTACGGTAGAACGACGTGAGTCAGTTGAGACGAACGAACTCTGGGGGTGAAAATGTTCCTGGTGACTTGTTTTTGACTCTGGGTGATAATGTCAATGTTCAGCAGTGTCGGGTGCTCCTCGGCACTGCTATGGGTTGCTAGCTCGGGATCATTACTACACAGTATATTGTGATAAGTGTGCTTACTTCCAAGTACTTTATAGACTTGCGGCTGATGTTTGACACTGGTTGCTAGTAACTTGCTACACCATCCGCCGAAAAGTGTTTTAGCCCTCGGAGGTTGACATTTAGGCATGCAGACTGAGACTTACAGAAACTGCTCCTTTGTGAGCTTGCACACCATAACAAGTTTACAACCCCCCTCCCCTGATATGGCGATTTTGTTAAAGGGTAAAATATTGGCTGTGTGGTGGAAATGAGTTGGCTGATTGTGGTGTAGTTAGGGATAACACGCCTGTTTTAGCCTAGGTTTCCAATCAATTGTACGCTACGCGTTCTGAAACACTCATGTTGACTACATGTGTATGTTGATTGTGCCGCGACTCGTTACAGGACATGTTCATGAGGTATCCGCTGTTTGATAGCAGGGTGAAGGACATGAAGGAACAATCTGAGATTAAGAAGAAGAAAGTAATGGCGCGACTGCTGCGCAAAGGCGTGGACACCGATGCAGTCACCGATGCGCACAGTGGATTTTCCTGGACAGAGCCATGTCGGTTCTGCAGGAGTACGGGAACCCGGTCTCTCTTTGCAGTGACCAGTGTCTGCAATAGCACCGTGTGTGAGGTGAGTGTGTTGGGGTTAAGTAAGTACAGCATGCACTGTGTGTGAGGTGAGTGTGTTGGGGTAATGTATAGTAACTCTGTGTGTGTGTGTGTGTGTGTGCGTGCGTGCGTGCATGCGTGCGTGCGTGCGTGTGTGCGTGTGTGTGCGTTTGTGTGCGTGTGTGCGTTTGTGTGTGCGCGTGTGCGTGTGCGTGTGTGTGGTGAATGGGCTTGGGTAATGTATCGCATACATACTATGTGTGAGGTGGGTGTGTTGGGGCTGTGTATAGCATACATATGGTGTGTGAGGTGAATGGGCTTGGGTAGTGTATAGCATACATACTATGTGTGAGGTGGGTGTGTTGGGGCTGTGTATAGCATGTATATGGTGTGTGAGATGAACGCCGATGTTGGCCTCATGTACAGCATACACTGTGCTGGTCGGCACCTGTAGACCGTGGCAGAAGAAGCATCACCCTCACCTGATGACTTCACTTCGAATAACTGTTAAAGGGCTTCTGAAACTTGGAAACTCTTTGCCATTCCAAGAAATCAAAGACAGAGATTATCACTTAATTTCAATGTCTAGCTCCAGGGCCTATCCGATGTTTCCATCTTATCATCTTCAGGAGAATAATGTCTGGTACGCTAGTTCCCCGAGTAGACGAGACTTGCAATATGCTTTTTATTGTTTGCTTAACAGCAACGGTCTTTGCATGCATGTGCTAAGCGTCTTCCTTGTGGAGACTGGTGTGGTGGTTTTGCTGGAGAAGAGAACTGCCTGCCATGCCTGCAAAGCCAGTGTCGCAAGGGCAACCAGGCGTCATCCAGCACCATCAGCAGTAGCAGTAGAAGCAGCAGTGAAGAGACATCATCAGTTTCGTACACTGCTGACGATATATGTGCTATTTGCTACACGGATACGCTAGGAGAAGCTCCAGCTATACAGGTTAGTTCAATGACTCTGCCACACAGTAGGATTTTTCTGGTCTGGGCTTAGCTAACTCTGTGTACCATTCAAGATAAACACGTACATGTACAGTTTGTTGTAAGTCCGGATATCATTTGAGCCGTCAGATGAGAAAACAGACCTTATCGAAAAACTGTACAGTGCAGAAAAGTGCACTTGAAAGTTGGCGAGTTTACCCACTGGTGCGTCTGGACAACCAAGCTACAAACCGTCGTATTTCAGTCAAATATCGGTCTTTTGGGACAATCCAAGTATGTAAATCGAAGAGAAAACTCCAAGGAATCCAATGCAGCAAGCGCGATCGTGGCACGATGCTGCGTTCCCGAGATGCGAAGCCTGCAAGATACGTCACGGCACTTTGCATTTCTACACGCGAGTCAAACGCTCCAGACCAGGGATTTCCCCCTTTTCAAGCGATCTACGATCTCGGCAACAGGCTCAGACGTCTTGGAAGCTCTCACTGCATCTTCACGAAAAAAATTGGGCGTCCTGGGATAATGGAGATGGAAATGGCGAGCGATTTTCGTGTGACGGCGCAAGTCTAGCGCTGAAGCGATGTCTGTAGCTTGTTGCGCTGGAGCTGTGCTTTATTTGCTATCGGATTTGGGCCCAACGGGTTGCTTTTAGCCAGAGCTTTCCAGAAAGCCCAAGTTTGTGGAAATCGGTCAAAGGAAACAGAAAATATTATCCAAAGTAGGTGAAACAATTGTTGGTATTGCACCCAAAATTGAGGTGCAATTTGTAATGGTCTCCTACTGTCGAGGCTATAACTTTACTTTCCCTGGTCCAAATCAACTCTGGTTTTCTGCATACGATTCCTGGTGCTCCTAGCAATCAGATAGCACCACAAACAAAAATATGACTTTTTTGTGATAAGGTCTGTTTTCTCATCTGACGGCTCATTTCCAAATGAACAGTTTGTTGTGAGTCCGGATATCATTTCCAAATGAACAGTTTGCATACAGGCAGAACCACAGTACTGAGGACCTTTTAACACTTGCCATCAATAACTGGCAGAGAAGCATGGATACCAGACTATACGGCCGTACTGCTGCTCGATATCAGCAAAGCCTTTGACCGCGTCCACCACCAAACGCTAGTAGATGACCTTCACAATCTGAAGATCCGTGGAAATGCTCTTGAGTAGTTCAAGTCGCATCTGTCTCACCGACAGCAACGCGTAGAAGTGAACGGAACAACAAGTGACTGTAGAACCTGCACTAAGGGCATTCCCCAGGGTTCCGTTCTAGGCCCTACCCTCTTCAGTGTCCTATCCTGTATCATGTTATCCTTTCACCCATTCACGGCATAGTCCTTCCCCTGTCTGTCGCCATGTATAGACGGTACGTGACCTCTCACTACCCCCGTGCTACGCATGATACCATGCTCTGCTGGGCATGGCCTCCCTGACTCTTCACTATATCTACACTCATCTGTCTGTAAAATAAAGCACTTCCTTATGTCAGTACATGACACAACATGGTGTCAGAAGTTAGTCAACCAGGTCTACACTTCGAGTAGAAATTGATTTCTCCATTCCAGATGCCTGGCCGGCTTGGAAACGCCAGTTTGCGAGATATCGCCTCGCCTCAGAGCTCAACGCGAAAGACGAGAAAGTGCAAATCTCTACGTTGCTCTACTCGCTGGGCCCAGAGGCCGAAACTGTCTTCGATCAACTGGTATTCGACACCGTTGGAGACGAGGACAAGTATGACAAGGTCATGACGAAGCTGGACGCTTACTTTACGCCAGCACTGAATGTGTTTCACCAGAGGACCATTTTCGAACAGTGCGTCCATCTTCCAGGAGAGTCCGTGGAAGAATTTGTTCGGAAACTTCACGCAGCAGCGAAGTTCTGTGACTTTGGTGACCAGAAGGACAACAGAATTCGAGATCGCCTCGTGGCTCACATTCTGGATCGTCAAGTCGCCAAGGAGCTGCAGCTGATTGAGCCCGCAAAACTCACCCTCACGGACGCAGTTCTCAGGGCCAGGCAGGCTGAGAAAATTTCCGGAGACGTTGCAGCGCAAGCCGCCAGGCCGCAGGTCAATGCTGCATCCCGCTTTGGAGGAAAGCAGCTATATGCAAGGAGTCGCCGCCAGTGCAGCGGCGTTCCGTCGAAGCCTGCACTAACGCCGTCCACGGAGAGGAAGAGCGGCACTGCAGCTTCAACATGTCCGTGGTGTGGCCACGCCGGTTCGCACAAGAGCAACCGTTCTGCGTGTCCTGCGTTTGGTCGCAAGTGTAATTCATGCGGCAAGCAGGGCCACTTCGCCGCCGTCTGTCTTTCCACTCCAGCAACCACGCGTGGTGCCAGAGCTGTCGAAGATGAATCGCTCGCGTCCCCGTCGCCATTCATGGGTGGTGTTGCAGAGCTGTCATCCAACGCCAGTCCTTCCCAGTCCACCGACGCCTGGTCAGTAAGTCTGCCTGTTTGCTCGACAAATTTGATATTCAAGATCGACACAGGTGCAGATGTATCATGTATCACGCACTCCACGTATCAGAATCTCGTACAACGCCCTGTACTCACACCATCCACTACCAAACTCCTTGGTCCATCTGGTGCACCTCTATCCATCAAGGGTCAGTTCACTGCAGACACCATGCACAAGAGTGAACTGTTCTCTATGGAGATCGTAGTTATCGATGGTCCTGGATCTACCAACCTGTTGAGTCGCAGAGACTGCCTCCGACTTCGCCTGATCCAGCGTTTAGATGCAGCAGAATCGTGTACCAGCAAGCCAGCACAGCCCATCGGTTGTATGGTTGGGCCCCCAGCTGATATCAAGCTCGTGGACGACGCCACGCCGTACCACTGTGGTGTTGCCCGCCCCGCCGTGTGCCTCTGCCTCTACAGGACAAGGTCACAGAAGAGCTCGCACGTATGGAGGAAATGGGCATCATCGTCCGGGAAACGGGTCCCTCTGACTGGTGCTCTCCTATGGTGCCGGTTCGTAAACCTAATGGTCGCGTACGGATCTGCGTAGACCTAAAGAAGCTGAACGGCAACGTGAAGCGCGAGCACTTCCCTCTTCCGACAGTTGAGGACACACTGGCTAGGCTCGCCGGATCTACTGTCTTTTCCACGCTGGATGCCAACAGCGGCTTTTGGCAAGTGCCTCTCACGGAGTCTGCATCCTAGCTGACCACGTTCATCACGCCTGTGGGTCGGTTCCGATTCCTCCGGATGCCATTCGGTATAACCTCTGCACCGGAAATCTTCCAGCGACGTCTGCAGGACTTCCTCTCCCACGTCAAAGGTTCCGAGGTATTCATGGACGACGTTCTGGTCCACGCCACTAACGAAGCTGAACACGACCACCGGCTGGACACAACGCGTCAGGTCCTTGCCGACGCAGGCATCACTCTGAACCCCAACAAATGCCACCTCAAGCAGTCGTCAGTCAAGTACCTGGGACACATCGTCAGCGGGTCCGGTGTGAAACCCGACCCCAGCAAAGTCTCCGCCATTGACGACCTCAAGGAGCCTACGAATGTTCCTGAGCTTCGCCGTGCCTTAGGTCTCTTCACCTACGTCGCCAGATTCATCCCGGAATTGGCTACGATCTCAGCGCCCCTCCGTCAGCTCCTGCACACCGACACTGATTGGTTCTGGGACTCCCCGCAGCAGGACGCGTTCCGTCGGCTGAAAGAGCTCGTCGTTTCAGCCCCGTGCTTAGTGCACTATGACCCCAAGCGTCCCATCATGGTCAGTGCAGATGCCAGCAGCTATGGCATTGGTGGTGTTCTGCTCCAGAAGCACGATGGCGACTGGCGCCCAGTAGCCTACGCCTCCCGTTCCCTGACCAAGACGGAACAAGGCTACGCGCAGATCGAAAAGGAATGCCTCGCAGCGGTGTGGACGTGCGAGAGGTTAGACCAGTACCTCTTCGGCGCTCCCAGGTTCATAGTGCAGACGGACCACAAGCCGCTAGTGCCACTGATCAACACCAGAGACCTGGACAAGGTTCCCATCCGATGCCAACGAATGCTGCTCCGCTTCCTCCGGTACGAAGTCCATGCCATACACGTTCCCGGCAAGGATCTGGTGGTGGCTGACACGCTTTCACGAGCGCCAGCATCGGTGTCAGTTGACAACGTTCTGCAAGACGACATCGGCATGGTTTTATCAACCACTGCCGAAGATCTCACGAGTCCATCCGTTCTCGCCGACCTAGCCAAGGCTATGTCTGAAGATCCCGTGTTATCCAGTGTGATGCGCTACGTCATCCATGGCTGGCCTGCTACCGTCCCTGACGACATCAAGCCGTTCCATCGTGAGCGAGGCCAGTTGTCTCACATGCAAGGTGTCTTGTGCCACGGCTTTCGCCTGGTTGTTCCGTCCGTGCTACAGCCTGAGATCCTCCAGAAGCTGCACGATGGTCACCAAGGTGTCACGAAGAGTAAAGCTCGTCGTTGTGGCCAGGTATCTCTGCCGACATCGAGGCGTACGTCGCCAAGTGCACTACCTGTATCAAGCAGCGTCATCAGTCTCCAGAGCCTCTTCAGACAACTCCGTTCCCCGAGCGTCCGTGGCAGCGTATCGCATCGGATCTCTGTGATGTCGACGGCCGCCAGTACCTGATTACCGTCGACTATTTCTCCCGTTACATTGATGTCGCTTGTCTCTCATCGACTACGTCACGGGCCGTCATTACTCATCTGAAGAGCATATTTGCTGTCCACGGCTATCCGGACATCTTCGTCAGCGATAACGGGCCACAGTTCGCTTCCGACGCCTTTGCACAGTTTATGTCGTTGTGCAACATCACGCATCGGACCAGCAGCCCGAAGCATCCTCAAAGCAACGGCGAAGCAGAACGCGCCGTGCAGACTGCCAAACGACTCATCCGTGCGCCAGGTGGTCTACAGCAGTCCCTCTTAGCGTATCGCTCCACACCCCTGTCCAACGGCTATTCGCCCGCCGAACTCTTGTACGGCCGCAGGCTCCGCACCAACCTTCCGTGCCCACCTGATCTCCTGCAACCCTCCTGGCCAGACATCACCGTTCTCCTGCAACCCTCCTGGCCAGACATCACCGTTCTCCTGCAACCCTCCTGGCCAGACATCACCGTTCTCCTGCAACCCTCCTGGCCAGACATCACCGTTCTCCTGCAACCCTCCTGGCCAGACATCACCGTTCTCCTGCAACCCTCCTGGCCAGACATCACCGTTCTCCTGCAACCCTCCTGGCCAGACATCACCGTTCTCCTGCAACCCTCCTGGCCAGACATCACCTGATCTCCTGCAACCCTCCTGGCCAGACATCACCGATCTCCTGCAACCCTCCTGGCCAGACATCACCGTTCTCCGGGCCAAGGAGCAGGAGGCTAAGCATCGTCAAGAAGATCACTTCGATCAACGCTTCGCAGCCAAGTCGCTCTCCCCTCTGCCACTGGGAGCGAAAGTGTGGGTCGACGACAAGCGCGAGGGTACAGTGGTTGAGCAACTCACCGATCGCTCCTACAACATCGCCACCTCATCCGGTCTTCTGCGCCGAAACCGTCGTGCAGTGAAGTTGCTCCAGCCAGTGACTCCTCCCGGACCGGTGCCAGCAGGACCACCGGCCGCGCTAGTCCCGCAACAACAGCTTGTGCCTACGTCACAGCCAACTCTGCGTGCTCGCAACAACATCCAGCCACCGCAGAGATTGATCGCTACCATGTAACTCTCTCTGGCTTCATGCTATTGCTATTGCTCTCCCGCACATTGAATAGTTCTGTTCTATGTGCCCGGCTATGTACAATCCGTACATGTATCTGTCTTGCCTTTGCTCCATAACAGTTTTTTCCCAGCTGTTGTGTTTTTTCTCTCTTCAATTTTTTTTCAAAAAGGGGGAGATGTCCTATCCTGTATCATGTTATCCTTTCACCCATTCACGGCATAGTCCTTCCCCTGTCTGTCGCCATGTATAGACGGTACGTGACCTCTCACTACCCCCGTGCTACGCACGATACCATGCTCTGCTGGGCATGGCCTCCCTGACTCTTCACTATATCTACACTCGTCTGTCTGTAAAATAAAGCACTTCCTTATGTCAGTACATGACACAACATTCAGCATCTACGCTCGACTTGTCCCCACTCTGCCATTGCGTTCTCAATGCCTTCTTCATGCAGACGACACCACCCTGTATGCCTCTGGAAAGTGTCCACGAATTCTCCATGTCTTACTTAGAAGAAGATTTTTCAGTGGTGAAGCAGCACCTCACAGATCGCGGCCTGCTCCTGAACTCCAGCAAGAGCCAAGTGCTACTGATCCACAGCAGACGCGCACATCCTCCACCTAATCTGAGCATTGTCTGTGGTTCGACTGTTATTGCCCCGTCTGACGAAGTTAAGTATCTAGGACTGACTCTCGATTCAACTTTAAGTTTCAGTGCCCACGTTAACTCCCTCAAGGAAGACATCGGAAAGAAACTAGGTGCTTTTCGACGTGGAAGGAGGAACCTTGCTGTCCAGGCCAGAAGGCAGTTCTACTTGTCAGTAGTCCAGAGCAAGCTCGAGTACGCCAGCACTGCCTACGTCCACTGCCTCGCTGACAAAGTGAGAGATCGGCTGCTACACATAAGTAAGAGAGCACTTAGATGCATATTTGAGCATGACACATTCACGCCGACATCATACTTGCTTGAGCGATACCACATAATTAGCTTAGACAAAAGATATCATACTAAGTCCATATTCTTCGTGTTCCGTTGCATCCACAATATCTGCAGTTCACTCCTCTCTGACATGTTCCCCCTTCGCCGTGACTGCGCTCACACAGATAGAGTAACCCGCGGCCAAGTCAATTATTCCCGCTTTCCTTACCCATTGTGCAAGCTCAAGCTGGATACAGATCTATTTCATTCCTTGGTGCTGACCACTTTAATGCGCTTCCCGAATCCCTTCGCACAAATCATATCCCCAATTCATTTCGCCAGGAACTTACCAACTTCATTCATCTTGGGCACCCTGTAAAAAGACCTTAGGCTATAGGGTCTGTTGGGAATGCCCAAGTAAAATAATAAAATACAATACAATACCAAAAATATCATAAACTGAGTCGTGGTGACATTGTCAGATCATGTTCTTTTCGGCCCAAAGTTAAGCCGATGAATTCTATGTCTCCAAGTCGATATCTATTATTATTCGAAATTGTATACTATATTTGGTTTACTGTATTTTCCGGTTGTAAGTCGACCTTTTACGACTAAGAATAGAAAGTGAAAGGGTGGGGGTCGACTTACAACCGGGATTCGACTTATAACCGGGAACTATCAGTATCTAAAAAAATGACCTACACTGCATGCACGAGTGCGCCATGTGTACACAAGTTTATTGGCCTTTCAAGGATTGGGACATTATACCGTCCAATATGGAATGTTTACATGATTTGTTGTGTTAATAGCAGGGAGTAGTTAGTAGTGCTTCGTTGGGTGATAACTTTGAAAAGCAGAATTGAGACCTCCGGATACGGGGTCGACCTATAACCGGGATCGACTTACAACCGGTAAAATACGGTACACTCCGATGCATTATTTTCAACTAGCCTGCAATCTGCAGAGCCCTGTTCCAGACTGTTCCAGACTGTTCCAGACTGTTCCAGACTGTTCCAGACTGTGCCAAATGATGTGATAGGTCAGAGAAAGCCATACATACTACATGTAGCAACTTGTTTGCATGTTTAGCTATGTAGATGTGTAGATGTGTAGATGTGCTGAAGGAGGCGTGTGTGAGTTAGAAGTGTGAGTTACCCGACAAACAACTGACCGTCCCAGTGACTAGCAAGCACTCACTGCTACATTGATTGATCCCTGAGCGGCACCTAGAACTGCACTGTTACTCTCACACTCTGACCGGGAACCATGGTAACCATGGCAAGACAATGGAACTACCTACATGTACAATGTGTGATCCACCGCCTCATCAAGACAATAAGTACAGTTTTTGTTGCGACAACCGTACTCCATGCAGTGAACTTGTAGAAGCTGCAAACAGAAAAGCTGCACATTCCTAGGAGGTGCCAAGGGCAAAGCCTCGGGTCACACATCACGTCATTGGGATGGTAGTTCCAGTGGGAAAGGGCACTTACGTGGTGATGTAATTCAAAGGTCTGCTCTGGCTTCACTAACGCCTAGTGCTTTGGATTATTCTGTGTGTGTGTGTGTGTGTGTGTGTGTGTGTGTGTGTGTGTGTGTGTGTGTGTGTGTGCGTGTGCGTGTGCGTGTCTGTGTGTGTCTGTGTCTGTATCTGTGTGTGTGTCTGTGTGTGTGTGTATCTGTGTGTGTGTGTGTGTCTGTGTGTGTGTGTGTGCACGTGTGTGTGTGTGTGTGTGTGTGTGTGTGTGTTGTTTTGCCTGGTTAGCTGAGGTGTGGGCACATCTACCACATGCATTGCTGTCAAGACAAGCACGCTAAACTATGGGCACACCTCAGGATCAGCTACAAGGAATTCAAATGCCCTGATTGCGAAGTAAGTTGATGTTGTGCAACTCACAAAGCTTCACTTGGCCAAGCTGAGAAATATAGCAGAAAACCTGGCACCGCACCGGGGGTCAGACTAATGTATATTCCAGAAAAAGACTGATATCCACTGCAGTCATGCACTCAGAGCCTGAACTGGACAAGATGATATCATCATAATTGTATGATGCAATGCACATTATTGAGATGTATATCCTGGTATGCATGGTGCTCTCCATTGGATCTGAGCAGCAATGAGAGTTTCCCTGACATGCACCAATCACTTGCTTACTGCGTGAATGCTCCGGAATACAGCCTATTGAGCCACGGTTAAAGGGGCACTCTGGGAATTTTTTCGGTAGTGTGTTCTCTTCATGGGGGCCTTATATGGCCTCCAAGGAATGGGGAATCGCGAAAACTAGACCCAAAAAGTCGATATATGAAGCCAGGGAGGGCCAAGTTTGTCTCCTCCTCGGAGGGTTTTGATGACGTCACATGTGATTAGTATTCAAATTCCCTGCATTCAAAGGTGTTAGTTGTTTGAATTTGCTGGGGATGAAGAACGATGTTTGGTCGGCATTCCCGAGCTTCACAACTGCGGCCATACTCCAAGAAACCTGAAGGGTCTCCTCAGGTGCCCCTGGTAGAAGCGCAGCGTGATGAGGGCCAGGAGATTGGAGCAGACAACTTCACTGGTCGACAAGGAAGAAACGATTGATGTTCCTGCCAGAAATGTGGAGTGATGCAGAGGGCAGTCGATTGCCTTTGCTGTCGAGAGAGCGATGGAGCTGTTAGCATTGACAGCGCTTTGACATGCGTTTCGCATGACCCCGACTTCCCGTCAGCTTGTCTAAACACTTACCAGCTCCTCGTCCGATCCCTTCTCCTGCTCGCGTTTTCGCTTTGAGGTAAAGTGATTCCTTTAGAGATGTTGTTTTCGGTGTGGAACTTGACTTTGCGGACACGCCTGAACTCGAAAATAACGTTGGCACTGCACCATCCACGCGACGAGCTTACGAGGTCGCTTTTGCCTGACTGGCTGCTCATCGCTCCGCTAGCCATAAATTCGCTCATCAGATTGCGCTGAAAGCAGGTCGGTTCAAAGTGGGCTGAACACAAACGATCTCACTTTATTGGATCAAAGAGCTTGTGGGTTTCCCACCGGCGACTCAAGCTGCTCTGCCTATGTTTTGACCCACGGAAGACGCAACTCAGCGTCGTGGGGAAACATAAACCACGTCAAATTTGTGCATGCCTCATCCTTCGAATCGTTCGAACAGCCGGGAGCACAGCAACTCCGCATGACAGACAGGAAATCTGAAGCTGGCACATCGACGACATGAAAGAAACAAACTTGACAACTACCCTGCAACGCTTCACCTCGACAGTTTCAGCAGTGTTCCCATTCGAGCTCCGGGATTGCATTGAGCTCCTAATCATACGTGACGTTATCAAAACCCTCCGTGGAGGAGACAAACTTGGCCCTCCCTGGCTTCATATATCGACTTTTTGGGTCTAGTTTTCGCGAGACCCCATTCCTTGGCTTGGGGGCCATACGAAGCCCCTATGAAGAGAACACACTACTGAAAAAATTCTCGGAGTGCCCCTTTAAAGGGGAAATATACCCTAAAATCAAATTTTCACCAGTTGTAGTCTTCGGGGTGCTGAGTCGAATGGTCTTGGTCCTAGGAAGCTGAGACGCTCCCTTCCTCCTTTATTTCCAATCGAACTCGCGCACTTCCACCGAAACTGGTTGACTGCGCCCTACTAGATAGGGATTTGTATGGAAAAAGTCACTAAAAAGGCCGTTCCGTTCTTATAAAAGCGCGGATGACCGCGATTGGTCCATATGTTGTAGTCTTTTGGCCGCTGAGTCCACTGGTTTTGGTCCGAAAAGGCTGCGATGCAGCGTTCGGCCCTTATGGGGCTGTTAAGTGTGACGTCACGGCCCCTTCGATACGCATAGCAACGGAGAGCACTGGGGACAAACAAAAGTCGCGTCCTCTGGATGGAACCAGTTGTCAAAGGCAACAGCATCTAAATGACTGGAGAGAGAGCAGTTTTTCTTTGCTTTTTCTTCAAGCGATTGTTGTCGCTCTTTACTCCTTGTTCTTTCCTCTACAAATCTCCTGTAGTCGTCGAGGTCCTTCATAATGGCTGTGAAATTGGCTGCCCACTGTAAAACTCCGTGTTTGAGAGTGCTTTGAAGATTCTTCGCGTCCTGATGGATCAAAGTACGAGCGCTCCCTGTGGATTCGATTATATGTAGGTGAGTTGTTCAAGAAATCAGTGTCTTCTTTCTGTCTCTGCCCTCACGCTGGCACAATAATATCAGCCTCTATATCCATGACAGCACGCACCTCCCGTAAACTGCATGACTTAGATATATTCTCGCCCTCCGTGGTGATTGAAGACCCATGGAAGAAGTTATTATGTTCCGAATGATGTCCTGAAAATATAAAATATAATAATTCTAGGGAATTGTTACAGGGTATTTTGGAAGGATGGAGAGAGAGAGAGAGAGAGCACTGAAGTGTTTGTCTCACTGTAATTACTCCAGATTATTGAATAGTGTATGATCTACTCGATATTTTCCACAATGGTTTTCCTGATTTGCGGGATCTCTTCTTTTGCTGTTTGCGTGTTTACAGGAAGTGACTGGTGTATCTGCACCAGATCCTGGGGACATGAAATCAGATGCAGAGGCAGGGTCGTGCAGTGATGCAACACTGCCGTTCTATGTGCAACGTCACCGCTAATTCTCCCGGCGAAAACACAAAAAGACAAACACGTCAAGAGACTCCAGTATTGACCGTTCTGGTGATGAATCGTGACTGCTCGGACAGTCGATAATCGAAACACAGAGCACCAGCATGATTTTGATATTGGGAACCACACACCAGCTCAATTCTCAAGCCCAGAAATTGATGAATACAAAACACAGAGCGACGCAACAAGAGATCATCCGGCAACCAAACCAACCTGGGTCTAATGCACTGAATAGTCCTGAAATACGCAGGCCACACAAAGCAGTGCAAGCACATACTGTTACAAGGTACATGCATTGCAGAACAAAGTGTAACCAAAGATACACGGGGTTATACATGTAGCTGCACACTCGTGCATATGCTCGCTCAGCCCAAGAACACGCATGATGAAAGAAATAATCCGGGGGAAACACGCTAGCACCGAAGTAAGCATCAAGACGTAAATAGTCATCATCACAAGCCCTAAGGCCGTCGGGGCGTCACAGAGCAAGTATGAACAAGCGAGCGCCATAAAAATCGATCGCGTGCAGCAGCGAGCAGGGACTGCACGTCAAGTGCAGTCCATGAAATAATATTATCAAGCCATGACATTCTGGGCCTGCGTCGGCCACAACCTCCAGCAACACAACCCTGAAGAACAGTCAATGACAAACAGCTGGAACGAACAATATGACCAAAAAATTGCAATTTCCTTTTACAAACAGAAACAATAAGTGGGACTTGTTTGTGAATACTATTTATTTCCTCTCTAACAGACACAATCGTCCGTAAATAGTGCAGCTCTGAAAAAGTAAAAAAATACATTGACATGTACATTGGTGTGCCGAGTAGTATCATCCTTGATTACCCATCCAACCAAGACGTTATCAGGTCCCAGACGCCGAGATCGCACGCCGAATGTGAAGTGCATCTAGCCTTGAACCTGTTGCACAAGGCACACACATATGACAAAAATGACATCCACTCCGATTATTTCCAGAGGCCAATCATAACAGAACACAGAAATGAAACCACAGGCTCAACAAAGTACATATGAACGCAAAGGAAATTAGTTAAAATAATCCATGAAGTGCTATTTTAATTCCAGCGCTGACTGCAGTGTGGCGTCGTGGCCCGATACCCGCTGAGCATAGACACAAACTCCATTTGACAGGGGCAAGACATACTATTTTGGAATAAAGTCATAAAGTACAGCATTCCGATGACATGACGGACACCTCGTGCAAATGCGTGGTCTGTTCATCCGGCCAACTCGGCCACGCATGAGAGTGTGTGCATGTACGCGCGCACGCAAGCGCGCGCGTGCACACACACCATGTATTCGGTGCGTATGGCGTACCTGTTGCGGAGATTATGAAGATGGAATCATTATCATGACGTTACATGTACATGTACAGTGTACAGTGTATGTTTGAGTGTAAAGTAAATTTTATTTTATTACACATTTCTTCGACACAACTTACTCCACATCTTCGCATTTCTCATAATCCATCCACCTACACTCCGTCTCAGTTGAGGAAAAACTCTCTCGGGTACAGGTATACACTAGTCACCACAGCCATGTGATGACATTGGGATGGGTCCCAAGCACGATTGCACTCTCCAGTCATTATAGTTTATTTGTCCAGATTATCTGTGAAGACAAAATGCAATGCATAGCGGCAATCGATGGATGAAGAGAGAGTTTGTAAATACACATATCTTTCCACTTGTTCAGGAGCTTACCTTTTGGAGTTCACATCGTTTACACGATCTCTTATGCTGTCTTGCACCTTGGCTTTGTTGACCATGGATGCGCCATCCCAGAAGACATTCTACAGGAGCTACTAATGCAGAGCGTTTTTCACGCTCGACCTCGGCGATCTACCTCGTCACGCCAATAAAATCCTCCGTGACACTGGCTACAGTCACAAGAGACGTCTCAGTAAGGTAATGAGCACGACAACACCGTCGAGATCAAGGACAAAGAGAAAACAAAACACTCACTGAAAACAGCAAAGAAGAAACGAAGAAATGTACACGATTCCTATATGTTGCCACTGACAACTGGTTCGGTGGAGACGACGCTACTTTTGTTTGTCCCCAGTGGGATCGTTGCTATGCGTATCGAAGGAACTGTGACGTCATCACTTAACAGCCCAATTCCCAATCGAACACGGTTGAGTAAGCGGTCACGTGCTCATTTACAGCCTGTTTGGGCCCGTTTATGTCACTCGAGTTGAACCTTTGAACCAGGGAGTCGTAAAAGCCTCTTAAGACTCCCTGCTTTAAACCTTTGAGTTGCAACTTGATGTGAAAATTGTACTCTGCAGGCAGTGCAGGCACGGTGACCAGGCGACTGGTGTACGCATGAGCACGTGACCACTTACTCAACCGTGTTCGATTGGGAATAAGGGCCGAACGCTGCATCGCAGCCTTTTCGGACCAAAACCAGTCGTCTCAGCGGCCAAAAGACTATAACATATGGACCAATCGCGGTTGTCCGCGCTTTTATAAGAACGAAACGGCCGCGGTTTTTAGTGACTTTTTCCATACAAATCCCTATCTAGTAGGGCGCAGTCACCCAGTTTCGGTGGAAGTGTGCGGTCTTTGTGGTCCACTTCACAACAATAACACACACAGAAGTCTCTGCTGTGAGCACGGTGGCTCGGCAATGGCGAAGTAAAATAATTATTAATTGTTAATAGTTCCAGTGATGTTGGAGAGATTCATAACGCTACTTGTTTTTTATTGATATGTCTGTTCTAGGATCAGTTAATAGAGCATCCTTTCTTCCATGATATGGAGGTCCTGAAGGCAAACTATAACATTGAAGTGCAGAAAGTACAGGAGCGACTGGAACGCAGACAGAGTTTAGTGGACACCAGTGCAGTCACCTGGACAGAGCCGTGTCGGTTCTGTAGGAGTACGGGAACCCGATCTCCTTTTGCAGTGACCAGTGTCTGCAATAGCACTGTATGTGAGGTAAGTGTGTTGGGGTTAAAAGAAACTGGCTTTCTATTGATGGCTTGTCCAGCTTTTATTCATTTGGCATGATAAGCCAACCGCTCATTAATATGTTGAGAGAGGTCTGGTTAAACTTGGAAACTCCGCAGGCTCTGGCGTTCCAAGGAATCAAATACAGGTCAGGGGCATCGGAAGGTATTCGACATTGGAGCGGCAATGGATGGGCCGGGGGTACTCCCCTGTGAAAAAGTGTAGGAAAATTGGGCCCAAACTTAGCCCATATTGAATTGTTTCCAAAATCCAGCTGGAATAATTATTATTGGTGTGCCAGCCACACCGGTTCCGACACCCCTCCAGGTCATATGACTTTTAGCATTTAATGTACTGAAATAATCAACAGCTAGTTCCAAGGTAGCCGTTCCGCTGTTTCCATTATGCCATCTTAAGGAGATGATATGTTAACTCGCTGGCAGAGTAGTAGTTTACCCTGATTTCCCCAAGGACTGTATTTACTTTGACATACTTGTTTTGTTTTTTACAGCAATGGTCCCTTCTCGCATGTGCTAAGCGTCTTCCTTGTGGAGACTTGTGTGGTGGTTTTGCTGGAGAAGAGAACTGTCTACCATGCCTGCAAAGCCAGTGTCGCAAGGGCAACCAGGCACCATCCAGCACCCTCAGCAGTAGCAGCGGAAGCAGCAGTGAAGAGACGTCATCAGTTCTGTGCACTGCTGACGATATATGTGCTATTTGCTACACGGATACGCTAGGAGAAGCTCCAGCTATACAGGTTTGTTCAATGACTGCCACACAGTAGGAATATTCTGCCCTTTGCTGAGCTAACTAGGTGTACCATTTGAGATAAATATGTACTTACAGCTTTGTGTGATCACATATCACGGACTGAGTTTTGGTGGCACTAAGAATTGTGTGGACATCACGCAACTGCATTATGAAAGAAGAAAAGGTTGATAACCCCCTTTTGAGTTTTTTTGGCATTGTCAAATGCAGTACTTCTCGGGCCACAGATATCCTGATGAATTTCAAGTCTGTTTCAGTATTGGTCAGCAACTTGTTGGTGATGCTTTGTTGGAGAATGTATGTTGGTACACCAGCTTCTCCGGTTCAGAGATACTAGATGTGTTGGCTCTGTGTGGTGTTTTCACTGCTGTAGCTTTCCTGTGGACACGTGTATCACAAGCATTGCTGTGACACTCAGCTAGCGACACGCTGGAGTGGCCCCAGGAAAGAAAACGCACCAAGGAGCTACAAGTTACGCTATATGTTTAGTAACTGCAGTGGTGTTAGTAACTGCAGTGGTGTTAGTGGACATTATAGCGTAACTTGTAGTTCCTTGGTCCTTTTTCCTTCTTATAGATTGATCTTTGGCTCTCCATCCGAACATTTGGAGTGTTTATACTAAAGGCTTGGTATGATGACTGTGTGCTTCACTCTCCAGCTTTCCTGTGGACATATCTTTCATAAGCATTGCTGCGACACGCTGCTGGAAAAGCAGTGGAGTGGCCCCAGGATCAGCTTCCAGTTCCTGAAATGTCCCAGCTGCGAGGTATGTTGACGTGTCCACATATTCCCTGCTTGACATCACAGAGTGGTCGGGATGCTTCTACTTTGAAATGCTTTTCTGGAGTGCGTGTTCAATGTTTGTGTGTCTTGAGATACACTAGTTTATGTATTTCAGCAGTACTAGTATTTCTTGAATTGACTTTTCCAATGGCTGCATGGTGATGTCACTACGCAGTCTAGTGGCTTTGTGAGCAAGATGGTAAAGCATTAAACATGTTGGAGAACGCTTCTGGCGGAATCAATGGGAGGAAATCACGGTGGCCATGACTGTGTGACTGTTACTCCATTCTTGATATGCACCTGGGGATGGGGATGCTTCAGGACAAGGAACAGATCTTGAGTCAGTTTGTCCGTAGCTAGCTGATAACCAGTGCAGACTTGCGATAGCCGAACTATGTTTGTGCCGCTGTTGATGTGCGGGGTTGCCTCTCCTCCCTAGGATTGCTTCATGGAGCATTCGTCACTGGATACGCGCACTATTCCTATGGTCGGATTGTTCAAGAGGGTGAAGGAGAGAGCACTACTTCGGTTGGAAGTTGACAAGGAGCTGGAAAACGAGGCCATTACCAATCCATGCAGCGAGTTCTACCAGAAGCCGGCTGAGTATGCCATGAAGCGCTATGCGTACTACCTCTGCCATGACTGTGAGAGGGTATGTACACAAGATAGATAGATAGATAGATAGTGGTGCACTGCATTGCCATATGCTGGTAGACTGTTAGAGTACAGTATTGCCAGACAGATAGACAGGTGTCCAACCCAACAGATATGTACTCGCCAGTATTCTCTTACATCACCACAGTGAGGTGTCCAGTCGTATGCACACAATCACACATGTTCAAGTAAGCCATGGTTTTGGGGGTCAGACATGCATTATATCGTTATCCGTAACAGTGTAATTGATTCATGGATGGCACCAGAAATTTCGACCTTCCAGCACCTGTGGTCACGTGACTACTTTCGCAGACTGTATGCGTCAGAGGCAGGTGTAGCATGTAAGCAGTGTGAAGATGGTATACCATGAGGATAATGTGCTTCCATCTAATACTTCTCCTAGGATAATGTGAGTGTGAAGTCCATTTCCAATAGATTCTCCAAGGTACGAGAAACCCGGCCTTTTTTATTTTATTTATTTTTATTTTTTTTACTATTGAACACTCACTGCATGATGAACTAAAATGAGGAGAAGAACTCGACACAATGGTACATATCCAGCAGGACGGAGTGGGTGGGACCTGTGAAGCTCAGCCGACCAAGGGTCTTGGCATCACAGCTGCACATGTGCACCAAAGGAAACAAAATGGGGAGTGGAAGGGCGGGGAGGGGAGCAGGAGAGCAAGAACTCTAAGGGTAGGAAAGAGAGGAGGGGGGGGGGGGGGGGGGGGTAGGAAACCAGGAAACTTGTTATTCCAAGATATGAGTGCAGACAACTACGCAAACAAGTACAAATATAGCAGTATCAAGATCATGATGCTGAGGCGAAAGTAGAGGCTGATTGCCGTGCAGATTTGACGAAAGATTAGAGGAGAGTTAGAGAGAGATAAAGACAGATGGATTGGGAGTTTGATGAGAAGGGAGTGCTCCGAGAACATGAACAGGGTCGTACTGGCAGTAGCCTAGGGGGCGATGTCCGTGGCCAATGACCAACCCGACCGTTTCAGGTAGCGGTAGGTCTGAACCTTGAACTGCTGCATCCCTTTGGCAGACGGTGCATCGCGGAGGAGAGTGGCTGGCAGTTCATTCCAGGCTTCGATGAGGCACTCCGGGAAAGAGCGCAGCGCAACATTGCACGATCTGGCAGGTAGGGCTGTCTGGAGTTGAAGCTCGTGCGCAAGGTTGGCTGCCGAGCGGCGGCCTGGGTAAGCTATTGCGAACAAAGAGCGTTGCAACATTTTTTCCCGTTTGATCTACAGCCTTACTTCGGCGGTGATGCTCAGTGTGCAGTACAAGTTGTCGGAGCAGAGTTTGACCCACAGGAACTTATGTGTGGACACTGCTCCAATGTCCTAGGTGTGGAGGTAAGAATGCTATCTCGATGCATATGACTCCGTGTGAAATTTGAGGAATTTAAAAGGTTTTTTTATTGAATTCTTTACTCTCACGACGGCACCATCGCCAATAAGAGGTTGCAGTTGACATTGTTTATCGCACAGAATGGAGCAGATTTTTGAATGTTGCTATGTGGGGAAGATGTGAACGGGGCATATGGGCTTAAGGTAGCAGTCTACCCAGAATGATACCTGTCATAGGCTATCCAGTATATCTCCAGAACGCATCAGTAGAATTGCTTCAAATTTTCAACATAGCATCATCATGTCACTAGGCCGATGTAGAAAAAAAACTGGCAATAAATCAAACCAAAAGTGAGATGACAGAAAGTTTTGAGAAACTCCTGTACAGAAAATACGGACCGTGAAGTTTATGCAGCATAACTTTAGTTTGTACAACAGAAAGCATTCCAAACTTACTCTCTCTCAAGACCTCATGCATGTGGAAATCCAATTAACCTTTCAAACCAAGAGAGGATAGAAATACTGAGTACTTGGCAACAATCCAAATGAAACCACCCGAACGGTCGTAAACAACACAGACCGCTTCTTCTCGTAAACAACACAGACCGCTTCTTCTCGTAAACAACACAGACCGCTTCTTCTCGTAAACAACACAGACCGCTTCTTCTCGTAAACAACACAGACCGCTTCTTCTCGTAAACAACACAGACCGCTTCTTCTCGTAAACAACACAGACCGCTTCTTCTCGTAAACAACACAGACCGCTTCTTCTCGTAAACAACACAGACCGCTTCTTCTCAGCAGAAAGTCAATGCAGTTTGCAAGAAAGTTACATACTGTAGGTTCATTGGATAGGTAGGAAAATGTAGATGCGAAAAAAGGTAACATTCAACACAATAGCATGAACAGTTCTTGAGTTATGCTGCATCAAGTGAGCCCCGGACAACTAAAAAAGAGACAACATGTAGTAGTCAAAATCACACCCCAAATTCGCCTGCTCCATAAGTACAACCTTCTTTCTCCATAGTAGCGTCAACAAATCCTTTCTTCTTGGCCCTGCGCCTTTTCCTGGCTTTCTTCTCCTCCTCAGCGCTCTTTCTGGTGCAATGGTACTGTTTCTTGCTGTCCAATTCTCCCAGGGCTGCTGATGTGTAGGCGCCGGCAAGCATTGCATTTCTTTAAGCAGACCACCGATCTGCTGGTAGCCACTGTTAAACAGCAGGACAGATAGGTACACTGCTGTCCTCACAGTTTTGGCACTGCATAATAATTCTTTGGGGCAGATGACCATATCATCCTGTTAAACGCCTCGTTTGCATTCTGCGTGGCTCCTCTAGAGCATCGCTCAAAAGTGGCCGGTCAGCAAGACGAGTATACACAGGGCGAATCTCATCCAGTACAGCCTTCGGTATAACATCATGGTGCTCGTACATGCCAGGCCGCCCCGCCCGGATCTGCTGGTATTTGCACCATGACTCCAGCCCCTCCGGACAAAATGGTGCATAAGCTTGTCGTCGGAGGAAGCTCGGTGCCACAACGAAGCCCGTATGGCCTTAGCAACGCGTGTGACATCAGATGGGTGGTTGCGTATCGCCATGCCGTAATAGTTTTGCAGCGAGTCGATCAGGCTATCAGTCAAACGGCCCCTTCCACCAATAGCTTTTCCATTGGCTAGCTTGGTTGACCGCAGGCGCTGTTTGAGATCACGGAGGCCTTTCCCCAGCCGCTTCTGAACGTGTCCTGTGCATTCTTCTTTAGCAATGGGGATATCTCCATACGGCTTCTCAGCACAGACAGCAGTGTATCCCTTGCTAGCACCGTCTCCCAAGTAGGTGGTATATCGAAGCCCACGGTGCTCCAGAGACCACTTCCAGAGGACTTTCACTGCCTCCATTTCCATTGCAGGCGATGAAGCAGTGGTGTTGATCAATCACTAACCACGTTTTGCACAGTACTTTGCCCGCAACTCGCAGAATTACGTAAAATTATTGGAATGCAAATTTCAAATGATATTTTGGTATTCACGGTGCACTTCAATGCATTGTATCTTGCAGCAGGCTGGCCCAATGACCGTGAAACTTCACAGGCATGTATTTCAAACTGTTGGCTTTCATCGAGTTGAGCCAATTTCCAATGAAATGGACGAACTTTGCTTTTTATGCATTTTTAGGGTAGTGCATGATGGTGAGGTGTTGACCAACTCATGTACAAATTCAACTGCCAAGAGGAGAGGCAAGAAGTCGAGTCCAGTTTGTTTGCATATCTAGGTTCCACTCTAAAAGGTGTGAGCTGTGAAAAGGAGGTCAGACATCGAAATGTATATCCAGTGGTTTGTGTCTCAAGTTGGCTGACTGGTTGTTTTTGTCCAGGTGTGTCCGAAGCACGGAACGGACTTCATAGCGTACAAATGTCGCTACTGCTGCACTCTCGCCGTCTACTTCTGCTTCGGAACAACTCATTTCTGTCCAATGTGTCATGACGTGAATTTTAGGGAACTGCGCTGTCGAACCAAATTTCCCTCCTGCCCTGTAGGGCCCACGTGTAAGAAGCTGGAAGGAGTGCTGTGTCCGCTTGGAATCAAGCACCCTCCAACGGGCGAGGAGTTTGCCATTGGCTGCGTGGTGTGCCTGGATTTGCCATGATGTTAGGTCATCCTCAGTTTTGTGCCTAATCATCAATCCCATCACCAGGCCTACTTGAATACTTCTGTGCACTGTTCTTTAGTCATGTAGACCAGGCTGGACTTGGCTATGGAAAATGCAAAAGGAACGAGAGTAACAAACTATTTTCACACACTTCTTTCTTGAATTTCCCTGTATGAGAGTGGCTCGTCAGTATACCTTAACAAAACACTGTACTCTACTCACCCATATGTTTTACGGTCGCAAGTTTTCACTGCCCAGTCAAATGTGTTGCGGATTTCTGTTCAACTATGATTTGCGCATGTTGTTGTATTTGGTTCTTGTCTGGTAGAGTCCAGTGTCTGATGTCATAATTATGGTCTAAGAGTACGCGCGAGTATGGTGTGATGTGTGACGTTTATGGTATGTGGTGCATGCAAGAGTACGCGTTGTCAGAGTGTGAGGATCTGCTTCCGTCTGTGTGAGAGTGACTGTCAAGTGAATGCTGTACATGCGCAGTGCTAGTTTGGTCTGGAAATGAGAGTCATGTGTGATTCGTCCGTGGTCTGGTTGTCTTGTTCTTGGTCATGTGTTCTGTACGTATTAGTCCCTGATTGGTCGTCCCGATTTGTAGTCGGTTTATTACTGCTTGTTCTTTGTTGTTTTCTTTCAGTCTTTTCCCGGGAGTCTTTCCCGTCGTCGTTTTCAGTCTAGTCTTTTTTGTCTCTCTCCTCCTGCGCCCTCGTCATTTGTTGATATAATACAAGTATTGAAGATACAACCAAGAGTTTGCGTTGTTGTGTGGCGGGGGCCAGGGGGAGAACCACTATTTCAAATGCACTCACATTGCTCATCAAGTGGCAACACTTTGCCTCATATTCTCAATAGTTTCTCCTTGCTGCAAGTACTTTTTTGCCGGGAGACTCAAGTCTTGATAAATTATGCTACTCCACAGAGGAGTCCATGCTATGTATTTGCTTACTAGACCTTTTTGCTTTACTAGCTAATAGCCGGCTGCTGATGCTGCTACTGTCGTACGCTATTGCCACTGGTGCTGCAGAAATTTACAATTATTGGATGCAGCCCTTTCCTATTAGAAAATGTACTTTACTAATGTGCAAAAAGCATTGTTGATTATAGTGTCATGTAAGTCTTTTATTATGAGCGCTAGCATGCTCGTGCAAGAATTAGTTAGCAGCCAGCCCAGCGAGCTGGCCCAACTAATACTTTCGCACATCATACGCGAGTCACGCCGGCATGCACCTGTGTACTGTATGGACTGTCAGTGGGTATAAGCATGCATGCAGGCATCCCGGGAGTCGTATAAAGCCTTAAAGGTTTATACTTGTCGCCGTGCGACTACCCTGGTCTAATAATACTCATGCCAGTTGCACTACAAACAATCCACTCATGACATCTTGCTCTAAAAGGCGAGCTGCCTGCAAACTTGGATTCACACAAGAGCCATAAGAACACGAGGTCAATCTTGGTGATCATAAAAAGGAGAGCCTGATTAGGAACGCGCATGCCTAATTTATACGGGTCAAGATCGCGCATGCCTAATATGCGCGCGTACCATACTGCGCATGCCTATAGCCATTCAGAATATGGAAGGAGCGCGGCAAGGTCAGAAAAAACAGGCTCTAGCACTACAAATTTATGTCTAAGTGATAATTATGGAAATTACGATCGCGTTCGCGACATTCCGGCCAGCGAGAAGAAATGAAGAATGATACTCAGTAAACATATCTACACAATGAACTGAATGTCAAGAAAGGAACATGCAATGTAAATAGCTCCGAATACTGTCAGCCTTGAAATTCATGAATACAAATCTGTGCCGAAAATGATCTACGGTACCTAAACGACGCAATGGTGGGAGAGCTGTATCAAACTTGACTCAATGATACCGTTACTATACTGACTGACTGCATGATATATTGACACTAGTTACAACTTCAGATCAACTTACTGTTCATGCATCTGAATACTCATCTTGAAAGTTCACCTTCGGAAATAAGGCAATCTACTTTTAAACTACTTCAATAGAACATGTATGCTGCAGTATATGTAGCAAAGGAGGTTCGCATAAGCAGCATGTTCATCACAAAGATCAGAAGGCAATCGTGATCATGCTGTGTATGTATATACAGTATTTAAGTGTGTGTGTGTGTGTATGTGTGTATGCATGTGTGAGTTTGTGCGTGGGTGTACAAGTGTTCAGACCATCATAGTATAGCTTACTATCCGGTGCACTCATTCTTGTTACTAAACTGCTCCGTCTCGTATAAGCTCACCTAGCTGTTCTTGAAGCCGAGCTGCTGCGTGCCGCTTGGGCCGAGTCGGGCCGGTGGCGTCACTACTGGATGCACTCTCAGTCGCCGATACTGGTTCGGGTTCACTACTCACCTGAGCTGGTGTTGATGGACATTCCAGTGGGTAAAGATGACATAGTGACCGTCTGACTGTCCTACCAGTAGGGAGCTGAATGGTGGCGGATCTTGTCTCACCATCTGAAGATGCGTGCAGTTTCACAATGCGGCCGATTGGCCAGCTAACTCGGGGCAGTGTTTCCTCGCGGATGATGACAACTGTGTCAACTGCTGGCTCGTCATTGGCACGAATACGTCCTTGTCGTAGCTGGTAATCGCCACGCTCTCTCAGTGATGCAAGATACTCGTCTTGCCATAATTGCCAGAAGCGATTCAGCTGCTGCTGACATACATTGAACTTCTGGAGAAGTAAATCACCAGAGGCTTTGACACAGAAATCTGGATCATTCGTATCTAACTGCTCACCCGGCAGTGTTAGAGTGTTGTTGAGGCACAAGAAGTGTGCTGGTGTGAGGATAAACCCATTGAAATCCTCACCCACATACGTGAGAGGTCTACTGTTGAGGATTCCCTCTACTTCTGTCAGCAGTGTGCAAAGTTCTTCGGCCTTTAGAATTCGTTTACCGAGGGATTTCCTGAGCATTCGCTTTACGGACTGGACGAGGCGTTCATACACCCCTCCCATCCATGGTGATAGTTGAACGATGAACCGCCATTCAATACCCATAGTGGCAAGTGTCGAGAATACATCCGCATTGGTATTAATGGATTTCCACAATTGCTCCATGGTGACGTCAGCCAATTTAAACTGTTTAGCATTATCAGACACGATTGTAGCCGGTGTACCGCGGCGAGCGACGAATCGCTTAAACGCCATTAGAAAGCTGTCAGTAGTCATATCTAGTACAAGCTCTAAGTGCAACGCCCGTGTTGCCAGACAAGTGAACAGTACCACCCAAACTTTCTTGTTTTCTCCATTGGCTTTAACAGTCAGGGGCCCAAAGTAATCAATGCCAGTCCTGGCAAAAGGTGCGCTGCGGGTTACCCGTTCTTTGGGGAGAGGTGCGAACTTGGGCATTGCAAAGGGGCCACCCTCAAACCGTTTGCATACCTTGCACTGATTAACTACATTCGTGACCTCTTTTCTACCTCGTGTCACCCAGAAGCGTTTACGTAATTCCACAAGCGTGTGACTAGCGCCGGCGTGGAGAACTCTCTGGTGTACATCGGAAATGATCAATCTCGTCAGCGCACTCTTTCCGCAGAGGAGAATCGGGAATTTAGCATTTGATGGCAGTTCTGCATTCTTCATCCTGCCTCTGCACTTGATTAGGCCATCTTCTTCATCAATAAAGAGACCCAACTTGAACATCAAGTCGCTCTTGGTTTTCTTGTTGTTCTTGATGGCGTCCAGTTCTGCTGGGTAATCAGTGGCTTGCGCATGTTTCAGCCAAAGCATTTCCGCGGTCTGAAGCTCGTCAACCGATAAGTATGGTGATGTTGGACGAGACTTTCTTGCTGACTTTATGAAACGCTGTACCCATGCTGTAACCCTGATTACTTTCGCGAAGGATGATGATTTCTCAATACGAATACCAGCCGGTGGGGGGTTGCTCGCCTGTTGCTCCGCAGGACCCTCCCCCGACAAAGCGGCGTGAACGACTTCTTCTTGACAAGAATCAGTATCCGGTGCCCATTGTACATCCGCCAACCACTCGGGACCTGTCCACCACAGATTACTCTTGAGGAGGGTTGCAGTCGTGGTGCCTCGTGAGAGTTGATCGGCAGGATTGCTTCTTGTGTTCACATAACAGAATTGTACGTCTTCATTGCGGCGGATTTCTGCGACCCTATGTGCTACGAACGTCGGCAGATCCTTGCCCTTCCCTTTCACCCATCCCAGCACACATTGAGAATCTGACCACAAGTACGTAGTGAGCTGAAGAGGGAGTTCTTTCCGTAAGAAGTTGATCATTCGAGCACCTAGCGTGGCTGCGAGTAACTCCAACCTTGGTATTGTTGTTTCCTTTAACGGTGCCACACGAGACTTGGCAAAGAGTAAGCGAACAGATACGTTCGTCGAGATAGTGCGTAGATACGCCACAGCTCCGTAGCCTGCCTTTGATGCGTCACAGAAAACATGGAGCTCATACCTTGGTTCAACGTTGGAAGTGAAACTCGCAAGTCTTGGTATTCTGGTTTGGCTGGCTGCGGATAAGTCATGAGCTATCTCAGGCCACTCTGTAAGAATAGCTGCTGGCAAGACATCGTCCCAATTGCACTTCAGTTTCCAGATCTCCTGAAGTAGAACCTTCGCGCGGAATACGATTGGCGAATAGATTCCCAGTGGATCGTAGAACGATGATAACACGCTCAGCATGTGTCGCTTCGTCTGAACGTTTTTGAGTTCCGCTGGGTTTGGAGTGAGCCCTAGCTCATCCAAGTTTGTGTCCCACTCCATTCCAAGGACCTTGACGAGTTGAGCGATTGCGCGATCGCTCTCGGGGATCTGCTGCTTGAGGGACTCGGAGTTTGTCGCCCACTCCCGTAGATTCATTGATGCATCAGCGAAGATGCCCTTGACTTCTCGATAGTACTCTACTGCGTCTTCTACGCTTTCCGCTCCGCCGAGGACATTGTCGACGTAAGTGTTATTCTCCACAGCCTGCGATTGCGTGTTCTCTGAAGAACTGATGTGGTGTCGTATGGTGGCACCAAGCAAGAACGGACTTGCGATTACGCCAAAGGGGATGCGGCAGAATCTGTAGATGACGATGTTGTCACCTCTGGGAGGCTTGCTGGGGTCTCGAACCCAAAGAAAGCGTGTGACATTGCGGTCACGGACATGTAAGCCGACTTGCAAGAACGCCTTCTCAATATCGCTGCTCATTGCTATGGGATTCAAACGAAAGCGAAGGAGGATGCCGCAAAGGTCTGGCAGCAGCACTGGGCCTCTGTGGATGCACTCGTTAAGTGACTTGTTGCCTTCCTTCGTCTTGGCAGATGCGTCGTACACTACGCGTATCTTCGTCGTCGTGCTGCTCGGCTTGACTACACAGTGGTGTGGTATGTAGTGATGTACGCTGCTCTCTGTGTTGCTGTCAGTGTGACTGCCATTGTTGTTGTCACTGCGTAGTTCGCTGCTAGAGTCGTTGACTTCTTCAATTACACCCATTTCCATTTGTCCCAGTATCGTTTCGTGATACTTCGTGAGTACTTCTGGTGTTTTTTCCATTCTGTGCATGAGAGATTTCAATCTACCTTTGGCCAAATCAAAGTTCTCTGGTAGGCAAGTTTCTGGGTCTAATTTCCATGGCCATGACACTACACAACGACCATTAATGAACTCAACATTTGCATTGAAGTTGTCGTACGCTAGGGTGTCATCTGTGACTCCATTATCTTCATCTATGCCAATCTGCTCTAGCTTCCAGAATTTCTGTAGGTCGAAATCTGGATGTTGTACTTCGCTTTCAACCGACGTGCACATTGCATGGATATCTGGCATTGAATCATGTTGGTCTGCTTTACCCGTCGGGATGAAACCTAGTTTCGTGTCAAGCATTACAATCCCATTTCCCAATTTCAAATGCTCCAGACCCACAAATTCAAAGTACTGGTCGCTCCCAATTAGTATGTCAATCGGAGCCTGGGTGCTTTCGGTGCCAAGGGGCTCAGCTAGTGGCAATTTTGCAATGGCTGGATGTTTCGACAAATCTAACGGAGCCATATTCATTGGACAAGAGATGTGGTCAGTGATATTTGCAGATATCGGTTGGAAGGATCCATCACGTAATTTGACTTGTAACTCTACCCTAGGGTAAGTGCGAGTAGTTCTGGTCTTGGAACCAAACCCGGCTACAGCCAAAACATCTTGACCAACTGGTTTACTGTGTAGTGAGGTAGTGACATTTCTGTGCACAAATGAACGGG